TGACTTTTATTTTTACTTAGATATATATTAATGTGGCGTGGAACTTGTCCAACCCAGACCGAAGGTTCTTCAAAAAACTTGTGGGTTCGAAGAAACGGATTCGTTTCGAGTTCACCAAAACTACTTCGCCAGAGCGACGTCGTAACGATGTCGTCTTCGCCCTGTGGCAAATTTGGTATGTACATACATACATATCTGTGTACGTATGGAATAGTAGCTTATGTCAAAAGCCTGGCTTTAGTATAATGCAGCATTCGCAGCGAATGACTTACAGGCGCCGAGCCGTTGAATAACTTTTGGCAAATAAACGTGCAAGAAATGGTTCCGATATTACGAAGTCAATATTCTTACTAAAGGCCAAATTCACAGTGCGTAGTTAACTCAGAATCGGCAGTTAACTACAGATTTTTGTACTGAAAAACTTTAGTTAACATCGATTCCAAGTTAACTACGCACTGTGAATTTGGCCCTTAGTCTCATCAAAAAATTCTTTGTCGTTTAAAGAATAAAGGGAATGCCGCCTTTTTCGAAAGCCTGCTTCCGGACATAAGGACTATTCCATACGAGCACAGATATGTATGTGTAAGTTTTAGATCAAAACTGGAACTCTGATGTATGTATAGTATCCGGTTTTGTTGTATGGACAATATTTAAAAAAAAAAACATTAACATTAACAAAGCAACCAGTGCTGTTTTTTGCATTTTTTGCGTTTTTATACCCGAGTGAACTTGTGCACAGGGTATTATAACTTTGTTCGCATAACGGTTGTTTGTAACCGCCAAAAGGAATCGAGATAGATGTAGGCAAATGTATACATAAATGATCAGAATGAAAAGAGCAGTCGATTAAGCCATGCCTGTCTGTGCGTCCGTCCGTCTGTCCGTATGCACGATAACTCGAGGAAAATGTTAATAAGCCACAATAACATTGACAAATACATAGTTTAGGAAGAGCCTGCCTAAAACTATACAAAAGCAAAAATAAGCAAATGGATGTATAGAATTGACAACAAAAACCACGCTGTCGAGTTTAAATAGCGGCAAATCAGCTGCACTTGATAGTAGTTGGTTGAATAAGGAAAATGAATTAGCAACAAAAGTTTACGGGATGTACAGTGGTTAATGCTTCTGACTTTGAACATCGAATTCGCAGGTCCGATCCCTGCTGAAGTCTAGATAAAAGAAGTCTGATGAAGAGATGTGGTGATCTCCGAAATAGCTGCTATAACTTCTACCGCTTAGACTTTGTTGCTTTTTCAGTTTTTCCTAATAAAAAATCGTGGTACAAAGCTCAATAAAAATATTAAAAAAATTGAGATATCTCGACGAAATTTGGTACGAAGGTAGGTTGCAATTGAAGGAGCGAGATCGGACTGTAACAACGCCCCCTTTTCAGATAACGGTATTTTCGAAAAATGCAAAAACTATGATATTTCAGTAAGTATTGGATCCAAATTGTTGAACATTGTGAAGTAGAAATTTGGTGCGAAGTAATATTATTATGAAATTTTTGGAAAAGGGGTGTGGCCCCGCCCATTTATGATGAAATACTGTATCTTAGCGCCGCTTCACAATACATACCAAACTCGGTACGAGCCTTGCTTAGGATCCAGCTAAGAAATTTGTTGAAGACCTTTGAAATCGGGCAATAGCCACGCCCACCTCACATATAACGGTAATTTACAGAAACACGAAAATTTCGAATATTTTAAATTTTTGGATTTTGGACGTAGCTCCGCCCACTTATGACCAAGAATGTGTATATCGGTAACCGAGTTATCAATTTATATCAAACTCGGCGCGTTTAAATAAACTTTGCCCAAAAAAACAAATCGAAAGCAACACTCCCTCTTCCTCTGCTACCACCAGCGGGTACCGAGTTGAATACTTTCAGAGCTGGAGCGTCGGTGTCCATTCGAACGACATGGCCAAGCCAGCGGAGCCGCTGTATTTTAATTCGCTGCATTATGTCCATGTCGTTGTAAAGCTCATACAGCTCACCGTTCGATCGTCTGCGGGACTCGCCGTCGCCAACACGTAAAGGCTCGTAAATTTTCCGCAAAATCTTTCTCTCGAATACTCCAAGAGCCGCCTCATCGGATTTTGTCATTGTCCATGCTTCTGCGCCATATTCCAGCTCGGGCATAATGGGTGACTTATAGAGTGTGGTTTTCGTACGTCGAGAGTGAACTTTACTCCTGAATTGCCTACTCAGTAGAGATGGGCACGGGCGGGTACGGGCCGGAATATTTGCTGTCAGCACGAACTCGTGCGGGCCTGGGCGTTCAGTAAAATTTCATAAAAGCACGAAAAGGCACGAAAAAGCCCGTTGCTAATACTAAAAATTTAAATGGGCTTTTATTTTTATACAAAAAAAATTGTACATATTTAAAACTCTTTTGATAAGAGAAAAGCAAAAAAATAAATATTTGGAAACCGTTAGAAAATATATGATACTTAGTAGTTTTGTTTACATAAATATCTGTACACAAAATACCTTCCACTTTTTCTACTTCCCAGAAAATATATTATAAAAACCTTTGATGTACAATATTGGTTTGCTTAAGTAAATATACATATGGAAATAAACACAAAATTAAAAATATGTACATATGTATACATACAATAAAAGTTGGCCCTTTATTTCCGGGCTAGGGCGTGTCCCGTCGTACCGGGTCGGGCCGGGCCGGGGCCCCCTAAAATTTTTAACGTGCGGGCTTGTGCGTGTTTTTGAAAGTTGATTTTGCACTCGTGCCGGGCCGGGCCTGAAAATTTAGGCCCGTGCCCATCTCTCCTCAGTCCAAAGTAGCACTTGTTGGCAAGAGTGATTCTGCNCATATACCAGCACGGGCATGATGAGTGACTTATTGCACTCGTGCCGGGCCGGGCCTGAAAATTTAGGCCCGTGCCCATCTCTCCTCAGTCCAAAGTAGCACTTGTTGGCAAGAGTGATTCTGCGGTGGGTTTCCATGCTGACATTATTATCGGTTTTAATGCTAGTTCCCAAGTAAACGAAATTCTCTACTTTTTCGAAATTATAACTGTCAACAGTGACGTGGGTACAAAAGGCGCGAATGTGCTGACTGTTTGTTTGATGACAGGAGATACTTCGTCTTGTCCTCGTTTACCACCAGACCCATTCGCTTTGCTTCTTTATCCAACTTGGAAAAGGCAGAATAGACTTCGCGATTTTTGTTACCGATGATGTCGATGTCATCGGCACGAGCCAGAAAATGCACGGCCTTGTAGTAAATTGTTCCTGTGCGGTTCAGTTTTGCAGCTTTTATTATCTTCTTCAACATCAGATTAAAAAAGTCACATGAAAGGGAGTCGCCCTGTCTGAAACCCCGTTTTGTGGCGAACGGTTCGGAGAGGTCCTTCCCAATTCTGACGGAGCTGGTGGTATTGCTCAACGTCATTTTACACAGCCGTATGGGTTTTGAGGGGATGCCAAATTCAGACATAGCGGCGTATTGGCAACTCCTTTTAGTGCTATCGAAAGTGGCTTTAAAGTCGATAAGTAGGTGGTGAGTGTGGATGCTTCTTTCGCGGGTCTTTTCCAAGATTTGGCGTATTGTGAATACCTGATCTATGATGAATTTTCCAGGCCTAAAGCCACACTGATAAGGCCCAACCAGTTCATTGACGGTGGGCTTCAGTCTTTCACACAATACGCTCGATAAGGCATTGTAACCTATGCTTAGGAAGCTGATCCCGCGGTAGTTGGCGTGAATGGGGGGTCGCCTTTCTAGTGGATTCGACAGAGCACACTTAAATTCCAGTCGTCGGGCATGCATTCATCCATAGCCATATTCTGCATAAGAGTTAATGCATGCACCTTATCAACTCCTCGCCACCGTACTTGAATAGCTCAGCTGGCGTAATTGCTAGTCGTACCTCGTCATAGTCAGGCGTAGGAACATCGACTCCGACATCATCGAGTGGGGGCTCGGGTTCTTCTTCCCCACAACTTTCCGTGTTGCTACCGATCAGTAGGGCGGAAAAGTGTTCCCTCCATAATTTAAATACGTTCTGAACATCGGTAACTAGATCGGCCAGCATTTCAAGCTCTTCGCACTCTTCGCCTCTCTCTTCTAATTGCGGCAAATACTTCTCGCTTCCGTCTTCAGATCCCTATAGCGGTCCCACATAGCGCGCGTTGCGCCTGATCGCAGCGTGGCCCTGTAGGCGGCATCGTTTTGCTCTGCAGCTTCAGCGGCGGTACTTACTGAGCGGGAAATGTGGTTCCACTGTTCGCATATGTCGGTTTGTTGAAGAGTGCTCTCTGAGAGCAGGTGTGAGAGTCGAGTAGCGAATGCATGGGCTGTCTGTTGTGATTGCAGCTTTTCGATGTTAAGCTTTCCTTGCATATTTGGCGCACATTTTTTCTTGCACAGAGGCGGGTGCCTATCTTGGCTGCAACAAGATAGTGGCCCTATTTTATTTTTTATAAATAAGGCCATTATCATATAATAGATTTTATAAATCCAATGGAAACACGGTACTAATTTTTTTTTTATGGGGAGTGATGCAGTCAATTGTACATGTATGTACTTACATATGTACACATGATTAGAAGAGGTCACGTGAAGCTTTTTAAAAGGTATTAAACACGCTTATGCCAACACGAAATGGGCGTTGTCTGTGAGCTGTTGGCCAAAACGTGTGCCAACCAGGTATGAAAATGCACAGCAGTATTTATGTCTTTGCGCATAGTTACATACATAGGTACATAAATAGACTTGAAAACGGAGGCGCCGCATTTCGCGCCACAATTTACCGCAAGGTAAGGTCGCCAAATTCATTTGCACGCTATCCTCTTGGCAGTCATAAGCAATTTTTATTAGACATTTGTATGTACTTATTTTGTTATTTTTTATTTATGCACACATATACATTACATATTACTAATATTGCATTGTATTTTATATTATTATTTTTTCTACTTCAAAGGGAAGTATAACCAAACAGCTTTTTGACAAATATAAGCGCAAACATACCTTTAGTGATTCCGGTAAGTATCTTTCCAAATACTCCAAAATTTCTGGAAGCTCAGATTCTTGCACCAAACGAAAATGTTTACCTTCAGGAATGATTTCCATTTCTGAAAAAATACATATTTATATAAATAGTTACAAATATACTTTAAAAATGATTTGTATAAATATGGAATAATAATTTTTGCAAAATTCGATTTCTCAAGAAATTTGAAATTTGAAAAATCTCAAAATGGTACGGCCTCATTTGACCCGAATTTTTTGCTAAGTTTTATTTGATGTAAACAAGACATTTTACAAACTTTATTTTGCTCTCAATAGACTAGAATACTCGAGATCTTTTGCAGGGGTAATGGTTACACCTTTTTATTCATGTTTCAGCCAGTGACGGACACAAAACCCCAACCCCCACTGGATCCGCCACTGTGAACGCCTCTAGCACAACCGATTTTGCTCATAATTTCTCCATTTTGTGCAGTTTCACGTTGGTTTGGTATGTTTGCAAATTTTTTACTAAAAGTGATACTAAATATGAAATTTTGCCATTATTATAATGATTTATTTCGGCATAAGTTAAGAATAAGGCCCATTCGGGCTTTTGTAGTTATATATTCAAAATTGTCTCTTTGTTTTCTCAACAAAGTTAAACTTTACAGCTCAATTTACATTTAAAGTCCGTTTTAAACTTTATAGCTATGTATGTCTAAAGTAAAGCGTTTCTATTGTCGGGTTTTGACGTTTGTATGTTTCTTGGCTGCAAACAAATTAAAAACTGACAATCAAATGATTTACTTTAGGCACAACTATCAATTTTACAGCAACCCTTAAATATAAAGTGAGCTTTAAAGTTAATGGTTAATTGAGAAAACGTCCCTAAGCGTGTTTATTTTTTCCCCAAATATATATTTTTTTTTGTATTTCGATGCCGTCCCGGTTAATTCTGAAAGTTGTTAACATTTACATCAACTATCGATTGTACTATCGATAGTAGCGCTTGTCACTATCGATGGTATTGCTGCAAACTATCAACCAGTAATGATAGTTTTTTCTCGCTCTTAAGAGTAGTTCCCCAGTACGTTTTTCCAACGAAAAATTGAATCAGAAAATTTTCAGAAAACTAGCCGAAATCGTACCCAGTGATCGGACTTCAAAAAATTTGTGTGGTAGAATCTGGAAAAAAATGTGGTAGATCTCTGGTTCTGGATCAAACTTTGTACAAGAATTAAAAAAAATCTGAAAGGTTTCACCTAAATTGCAAACATTTTAATTAGAATCTACAACAATTCTAAACTAAAAGTAAACAACGCCTTAGAAACTTTAGATGCACTGAAATTTGCTAATATTTACTTTCACAAAAATCGCCGTTTTTTAACATTTTTGCTATTAATTCTTTTTACAAATGGTAAGTTTTGCAATTTAATAGAATAAAACCACGTTTCCTATCGAAAAATTGATTATTGAGAAAATTTACTATTTTAAAGTTTATTTTATCCTCCCAATCGGCTTCGTTGTAAGTGTTAGTGTTGGACAATTTTTGCTCTTAAAACCAAGAAAACTATGTCGATCAAAAATAAAACTACTCAAAAACGCGAATATGTGGTAGATTTTAGACCTTGTGTGGTAGATGTGGTAGATGCCCAAAAAAGTAGCAGATCTACCACAATGTGGTAGAAGTCCGATCACTGATCGTACCCTTTTCACAACCCCTTTCGGTACTTCCGCAGACCTAATCCGCGTTTCATCCACTTTTCTTCTCGTTTTCCGATTAACTTTCGGATTTTTTGCTGGCTGGGCTTTTCTCGTAACAAGCGCAGCAGCTTCGCGCACGTGTATTTGTTACTTATTCATTGGAACTTCACAAACACACTGCGAAAGCGCGAATCAACACCCGTATTGGATGACGCTGCGAAGACAACAGAGGTCTGTGAAATTAAATAAAATACATCTTTGGTTTTCCTAGCACGTCGAGATATTTTTATTGGTGAAATGTATATTTTAGAATTTCTAGCAATTTGTATGAAACCCCTATAAATAAACAAAGTAAATCAGAAAAACGTATGTAACTTTGAAGTTAACGCTAAGAAAATTGATAACAGCAATTTAAATGGAAAATGATTTTTATTTTCTGTCAATTTCCATATAAAATTCAAAAAATTTAAATAATTTTTCACTTAAAGTGCTTTCGTGAAATTGACTGTCAAAATTATTTTCTTAGCGTTAACGCGAATTACCAGCGTTAACTTGGAAGGTTTAGAAGAAACCATTGACGAATGTTTTCCCCAACATTGAATCTGAGGATGCCTTCAGCTGGATAACATACCCGTTTTCACGTGACCCGAAAAGTAAACCTACCGAGATGACAAATTAACCTTTTGGAAACCTTCTGGACATCAGTGAAAACAGAGTTCTGGAGGCAAGTGTATGCAGAAAACACTGCTGTTGGCAAAATTGCATTAAAAATACTAGTGACTTTTACTTTTACATTTCTATGTGAGACCGCATTTTCAACAAATGCTTACATAAACAAGTAATTTTTAAGCAAAAAACAAAACCGACTTCAATTCCCATATAAAAATTTTACGATTATCGTTAATCTCTTCCTGTAAACCAAATTAGAATGGAACACATTTCCTTAAAAAAAAAAAACGTGGTCCAAAGTTATGCGGTACAATACATTAAAAAAATAATAATAATAAAAAATATTTCGACGAATTGATAACCTTCTCCTTTTTGTGTAGTTGGTTAAAACAGCGTCGGCGTCCAATGATTTCAGGGTAAAATTGGCAAAGCTCCCAATAAACTTAAGGGAAATAATGAAATCATCATAACAATTTCAGTCCTCACATTAAAGCTAAATGAGCGTAAAGTTTGAATTGTGTTTTCTTGTTTTCGTAGACATATGAATAGGAGGGGTGCCGCGAAATTTTTTTACCACTAAAAAGGTGCCGCGGTGAAAAAAGTTTGGGGACCCCTGCTCTAGCAAGACGCTGAATGGCTCAACAATATTCCAAATGCCTACATCGATCCGCTAGGCGTATGATTGCACTAAAAAATCCAAAACATCAAGCATACAGTTACAATCTTGTGTAAATTGCCAATCTTGTGCAGTATTGACAGTTTGGTAGTGGTTCAGATGAATGTTAGGTTGGTTTAAGTGGATTGTCACCCTGGTGACAAGCAAGTTTGGCATTTTGATTCCACAACTCTTACAACCTGCAACCATTTGGTGGCAGGAATGGCTTGCCGAGTGTGTTAAGCCTCATCCTTGCCAGGGCTGGACACTCGCACACGAAGTGTTCGACTGCCTCTTTTGAGCCAGGGTCATCGCAACTGCGACTGAACCTGTTGAAGGGCAATCCAATCCTTTCAACATGTATCCCTACGGGCCAGTACCCTATGCACACTGCAGTAAGTTTGTAGGTATCTTCTTTGCTCATTTCTAAGAGACTTTTGGTTTTAAGTGGAGCTAGATTTAGCTCTTTATTTTTTTATTTAGCTCCGAAAATTGGGCTTTAGCTCCTAACTATTTTTATAGCTCTTTTCAAGTGCTCTAGAACTTTTCTAGCTCCAGAAAGTTTTAGTTGTAATATATTAAAATTAAAAATCTGTAATTTCATTGCAAAAGTGTTGACTAAAACTTATTTGGCTTTGGTCATCTCAGGCAATTTTCGATACCGTCATGATCTTCTATTTCGATTAATGGGTACTACATAGTCCTAATCCTAATAGGTAATAGTCCCAGTTCCACTCCTAATGCAATTGGCGCACAAGCAAATGGAAAAAGGGCAAGTATAATTCGAGCTCCGATAAGCTCAGACGGTCTATCCTCTCCCAGGCGACCACGGTAGAAAAGTAGAGCCAAAACTTAAGCGTTGATAAAATTACAAATTTCGAGATGCCACTCTCTTGGCAAACTCTTGGAGCCAGGTTAAAGAATTCAAAAATTAATTAGAAAAAATCCTTTTCCTAAACGCGCACTTTTTGTTTTTACCTTACTAACTTCACCTTTAAGGAGGAAATAAAACTTTTCCGAAAAATTTTGCGAAAAAACGATTTCGTAACCCGAGTTTTTTATGGTCAATTCAAATATTTGAAATTGCAGATTTTAACAGTTTGTAAAGTATTTTTAGTTCACTGTCTAGTTTATCAAATAAAACACCTCTTTGAGGTAAAATTTTCGCGTGACGAAAGCTGAACTAGAAACACAAAATTTATGATATCAATTTCGTGACGAAAATTATACGCATTTTTTAACTGCCTTTGAAACGTAGGGAAAATCTTTTTTATTCGTACGAATCGTTGCAAAAGTTCTGTTTTTTAGTTTGTGTTTCTAGCAGTAAGCGGAATTTCGCAACGTTCCGAATAAATAAAAAAAGATTTTCCGTACGTTTCAAAGGCAGTTAAAAAATGCGTATAATTTTCGTCAAGAAATTGATATCATAAATTTTGTGTTTCTAGTTCAGCTTTCGTCACCCGGAAAGTTTACCTCAAAGAGGTGTTTTGTTTGATATCAATTATTTTAGGGTAGCACATTTAAAATCGACGAAAATACAAACAATAATCTAAATGTTTTATTTTTCTGAAATAAGTTGCTAAAAATGTTATCTAAATATAAATTATGTATTCAAATCGATGTGTCCATTAAAACACATAGTTTTTCGAATACGGAATAAAGCGAAAAAGAATGATCATATCCTTTGTATTCAAAAAAATTAAAAATATAAAAAAATTATGAGAAATGATAAAAACTTATCAACTTGGTACCAACTTTGGATACAATAAACAACTGTATTCGCCTGATTGTATCGTAGTTTATTTTTGTTAAGATTTCTACCGGGTGTGGGGGGCACACATGTGCTTTTTTAAGAAGTTTTACTTCTATCGCGTGTACGGTGTTGTACTCGTGCTATTAAACTAATGCTTTTTTCTCAAGTAGTTTTGCTGAGTGGCAATATATACATATGTATGTAAGTAGTAGCGGCACATTGGGTGAACTAAATGCATTCATACATACATATTTATGTACAACTGTAGGTAATATTGTACGCGTCTTCCTAGGGAGGTTAAGTGCGGGTGATAAACCCATGTAGCATAGTTAAATACTCTG